TTTCAGTATGTCCTGCCACTCCCTCTGGTTTGCACTTTCTGCTGAAAGATCAGCTGTTAACCTTATGGGGATTCCCTTGTATGTAACTTGTTGTTTTTCCCTTGCTGCTTTTAATGTTTTTTCTTTGTATTTAATTTTTGATAGCTTGGTTAATATGTGTCTTGGAGTGTTTCTTCTTGGTTTTATCCTGTATGGGACTCTCTGCACTTCCTGGACTTGATTGACTATTTCCTTTCCCATATTATGAAGTTTTCAACTATAATCTCTTCAAATATTTTCTCAGTCCCTTTCTTTTTCTCTTCTTCTTCTGGGACCCCTATAATTCAAATGTTTGTGCGTTTGATGTTGCCCCAGAGGTCTCCAAGACTGTCCTCAATTCTTTTCATTCTTTTTTCTTTATTCTGTTGTGCAGTAGTTACTTCCACTATTTTATCCTCCTGGTCACTTATCCGTTCTTCTGCCTCAGTTATTCTGCTATTGATTCCTTCTAGAGAATTTTAAATTTCATTTATTGTGTTGTTCTTCATTGTTTGTTGGCTCTTTACTTCTTCTAGGTCCTTGTTAAACGTTTCTTGTATTTTCTCCATTCTGTTTCCAAGATTTTGGATCATGTTTACTATCATTACTCTCAATTCTTTTTCAGGTCGACTGCCTATTTCCTCTTCATTTGTTTGGTCTCGTGGGTTTTTACCTTGGTCCTTCATCTGCTGTGTTTCTCTGTCTTCTCATTTTGCTTAACTTACTGTGTTTGGGGTCTCCTTTTCGCAGGCTGCAGGTTTGTAGTTCTTGTTGTTTTTGGTGTCTTCCCCAGTGTCTAAGGTTGGTACAGTGGGTTGTGTAGGCTTCCTGGTGGAGGGGACTAGTGCCTGTGTTCTGCTGGATGAGGCTGGATCTTGTCTTTCTGGTGGGCAGGACTGCATCTGGTGGTGTGTTTTGGAGTGTCTGTGGCCTTATTATGATTTTAGGCAGCCTCTCTGCTAATGGGTGGGGTTGTGTTCCTGTCTTGCTAGTTGTTTGGCATAGGGTGTCCAGCACTGTAGCTTGCTGGTCGTTGAATGAAGCTGGGTCTTAGCGTTGAGATGGAGATCTCTGGGAGAGCTTTCACCGTTTGACATTACATGGAGCTGGGAGGTTTCTGGTGGACTAATATCCTGAACTCAGCTCTCCCACCTCAGAGGCACTGGCCTCACACCCGGCCGGAGCACCAAGACCCTGTTAGTCACAAGGCTCAGAAGAAAAGGGAGAAGAAGAGAAAGAAAGAAAGAAAGAAAAATAAAGTTATTAAAAAAAATAATTATTAAAAATAAAAAAATTAAAAAGTAATAGAAAAAAGAAAGAAACAAAGAAGAGAGCAACCAAACCAAAAAACAAATTCACCAATGATAACAAGTACTAAAAACTATAGTTAAAAAAAAAAAAAAGCCAGACTGACAGAACCCTAGGACAAATGGTAAAAGCAAAGCTATACAGACAAAATCACACAAAGAAGCATACACATACACACTCACAGAAAGAGAAAGAGGAAAAATACATACATATCTATCTATATATATATAAAAAAAAAGGAAGAGAGCAACTAAATCAATAAACAAATCTACCAATGATAATAAACTCTAAATACTAAACTAAGATAAACATAAAGCCAGGAACAAATTAGATGCAGAAAGCAACCCCAAGTCAACAGTTGCTCCCAAAGTCCACCTCCTCAATTTGGGATGATTCGTTGTCTATTCAGGTATTCCAGAGATGCAGGGTACATGAAGTTGATTGTGGAGATTTAATCTGCTGCGCCTGAGGCTGCTGGGAGAGATTTCCCTTTCTCTTCTTTGTTCAAACAGCTCCCGGGGTTCAGCTTTGATTTGGCCCCGCCTCTGCGTGTAGGTCGCCGGAGGGCGTCTGTTCTTCGCTCAGACAGGACGGGGTTGAAGGAGCAGCTGATTAGGGGCTCTGGCTCACGCAGGCCGGGGGGAGGGAGGGGTACGGAATGTGGGGCGAGCCTGCAGCGGCAGAGGCCAGCATGATGTTGCACCAGCCTGAGGCGTGCCGTGTGTTCTCCCGGGCTAGTTGTCCCTGGATCACAGGACCCTGGCAGTGGTGGGCTGCACAGGCTCCTTGGAGGGGAGGTGTGGACAGTGCCCTGTGCTTGCACACAGGCTTCTTGGTGGCTGCAGCAGCAGCCTTAGCGTTTCAAGCCCGTCTCTGGGGTCCGTGCTGATAGCCGCGGCTCTTGCCCGTCTCAGGAGCTCGTTTAGGCGGTGCTCTGAATCCCCTCTCCTCGCGCACTAGCCCCTTCAGGCTGTGTTCACGCAGCCAACCCCAGTCCTCTCCCTGGGATCCGACTTCCGAAGCCCGAGCCTCAGCTCCCAGCCCCCGCCCGCCCCAGCGGATGAGCAGACAAGCCTCTTGGGCTGGTGAGTGCTGGTCGGCACCGATCCTCTGTGCGGGAATCTCTCCGCTTTGCCCTCTGCACCCCTATTGCTGCAGTCTCCTCCGTGGCTCTGAAGCTTCCCCCCCCGCCCAACCCCTGTCTACGCCAGTGAAGGGGCTTCCTAGTGTGTGGAAACTTTTCCTCTTTCACAGCTCCCTCCTCGAGGTGCAGGTCCCGTCCCTATTCTTTTGTCTCTGTTTTTTCTTTTTTCTTTTGCCCTACCCAGGTATGTGGGGAGTTTCTTGCCTTTTGGGAGGTCTGAGGTCTTCTGCCAGTGTTCAGTAGGTTTTCTGCAGGAGTTGTTCCACATGTAGATGTATTTCAGATGTATTTGTGCTGAGGAAGGTGATCTCCATGTCTTACTCCTCCTCCATCTTGAAGGTGTCCCCCAAAACTCTATTCTTGTATCAATTTAAACCACTATAAAACTCTACATGTCAGGATACTAGAGTCAGAAGATCTGGTTGGGATCCTAATTTCTTTTACTGGCTGTGTGACTATGGGTGAATAAATCTTTCTTTAGTTTGTTCCTTCGGTGTTGAAATTCTGGAAGAGGGAAACTTTATATTGTGAGGAATCTAAGTGGGCTTGGAAGTGAGCCTTTCCAATGAGCCCATCTCTGCTCTTTCTCATATGATCTTTAAAAATTAAGGGGCTTCCCTGGTGGCGCAGTGGTTGGGAGTCCGCCTGCCGATGCAGGGGACACAGGTTCGTGCCCCGGTCTGGGAGGATCCCACATGGTGCGGAGCAGCTGGGCCCATGAGCCATGGCCGCTGGGCCTGCGCGTCCGGAGCCTGTGCTCCGCGGCGGGAGAGGCCACAGCGGTGAGAGGCCGGCGTACCGCAAAAAAAAAAAAAAAAAAAAATTAAGATGCCTGGCTCCCTCCCCGAGACACTGTGACCCGGGCATCAGGATTTTTTTTTTCATTGAAATATAGTTGATTTACAATATTCTGTTAGTTTCAGGTGTACAGCAAAGTGATTCAGATATATATATACACACACGCTCTTTTTCGGGTTCTTTTCCATTATAGGTTATTAGGCCAAAGGATTTTTAAAAGCTTCCAGGTGACACTAATGTGCAGCAAAGTTGGGGAGCCACTGTGAGCACTATGATCAACTTTGTACCTGCTAATTCCACATGAGGATCTATGTCATTTGCTAGTTCAAGTTTTTTGTTTGTGAGAAGAATTTTAAAAACTAGAAAATCAATCCTTTTTTTCTTTTTTTATTGAGTAGAGTTGATGTATGATATTATATAAATTTCAGGTGTACAAAAGAGTTATTCACAATTTTTAACGGTTATATAGAAAATCAATTATGTTTTAAACCAGGGTCACAAACTAAAATGCCTGCAGGAGCCAGGAAGCCAAAGTGAGCGGTGGGACTGCAGCAGTTGTCTAAATTGGCAGGGGCAGCTCTGCTCCAGCTGCTGTTGCCAGGCAGAAATTGTCAGTTTTTCTCATTTTCTTTAAAATCCGGAAATCTATATTTTTATATGAAACTTTCCACTTTTTAAATTTTGTATCACATATTATTTTATAGGCTAAGTAAAACATGTCTGTGGGCAGATTTGGCTTGGGAGCTGCCAGTGTGCAACTTCTGTTTTTAAACTTGGTTGTCGCAGGACCAGAAGTGTCCTAATTGCATCATCAACATATGTTAAAGTTGGCATTGTTTCTTTGCATTAGGTCTAGTACCTATATGGACTTCCCTTAAGTAAGTTTTGTCTTTGATATTAGACTATTCTACGATTTGAGGGCCTCAAGCTTTGATAATTTCACTCACTCCTATCACTCATTCCAGCAAGGTGGTCCCCACTGAGGGGTATGCTGTCATTTCCATTTTGATGGTGAAAGCAGTGGCATGTACCCCCGAGTACATTCAGACGGAAGAACCCTGCTCTCATGCTTGGAGTTCAATCAAGACTAGATTTTTGGGCTTCCCTGGTGGCGCAGTGGTTGAGAGTCCGCCTGCCGATGCAGGGGACACGGGTTCGTGCCCCAGTCCAGGAGGATCCCACATGCCGTGGAGCGGCTGGGCCCGTGAGCCATGGCCGCTTAGCCTGCGCGTCCGGAGCCTGTGCTCCACGGCAGGAGAGGCCACAACAGTGAGAGGCCCGTGTACCGCAAAAAAAAAAAAATTTAAAAAAAAGACTAGATTTTCACACATATAATGCCAAGTCCCAGAACATTCCCTGGAGATATGACCAAGATTTGAAATGTGATTTACCAGTGGCAAGCCCAGCAGAGGCAGGTGTGGAAGGGCACCAGAGAGGCCTATTTAGCACCTCTGTGTTTCCAGGGGTACCAAAATCTCTAGAAGACTACTTCTCAGTTTTGTTCTATTAATTGAAAGTTCTCAGTTATTCACATGCAAGATGCCTCTAAGTGAAATAAGAATAATTAATGTTCACACTTCTGTTCCTCTCAAAGAAGTCACTTAACAAAAAAAGCTGGAAGACAATTTATATTGCATGATAATAATGTAGTTATGTTAAGATATCATGATTAAAATACCTGTTTTGGAGGAAACCTCTTGATTTTTTTTTCTGCTTTTTGGATTATTTTTAGATCATGATGCTGGAAATGGAGTACAGAACCCAGAAGAAGCAGGCATGGTTTCAGAAGAATTAAAATGGGCATCCAGAACTGAAAGTATAAAATTAAGTGGAAGGGAAAGACAATTGGACAGTTCCACAAGCAGTTCAAGAACACAACCAAATCCTCAGAAGCTCTGGGAAGAAGGCACAGAATTACCACCAATTTATAGCTCTTTAGCACCCACTAGTGGGCATTTGTTAAGCAATGAGGCCAAAACAGAAAGGGATGGCAATCAGTTTACAAAATCTCACAGTCGACCAACACCCCAAATTCAGCCAGTAGGAAATGTGGCACAGTTGCATACTGTCACACGTGTAAAGTTGTGTCGCAAAGAGTTACGTCAGATTTCTGCCTTGGAACTGTTGTTACGAAGTTCCAGTCTTGGAGTTGGGGTTGGATCTATGACTGCTGATTCCATTGAAGTAGCTAGGAAAATGAGTGACTTAAAAACTTAGGCATTTAATAAGAAAAATTTTAATTTAGTAGGTGGGTAAGATTCCTTTTTCTAATCTGTTAAAAATTAAAGCTTAAGCTCACTAGCTGTTCCCTCAGGATAAAAGAAGAAGGGGAGGAAGTAATCCCTAATCCTTTTGTATACCATGGATATGTATATCTTCTATAGTATATTTGAGGAGTTTTAATTTGTATTTCCATAATAACCAAACACATGCTTTATCAAGTAATGGAACATTTAAATGTTTCCACTTCTAAATTTGCTTAAAATTTTTTCCAGGCATATTTGAAGAACAAAACTAAGAGTAGAATAATAAACTAAAATATCCATTAAATGTATATTATTATATAATATAAAAGTATATTATTAAGTATATTGTTATATTATAAAAGTATGTTATAATACAATAATTATAATATAAATTTATATTGTTATTCTCAAATACAAGTATATTTTGTTATTGTTTTAAAAAACAGTTAGGGGGCTTCCCTGGTGGAGCAGTGGTTGGGAATCTGCCTGCTAATGCAGGGGACACGGGTTCGAGCCCTGGTCTGGGAGGATCCCACATGCCACGGAGCAACTAGGCCCGTGAGCCACAACTACTGAGCCTGCGCGTCTGGAGCCTGTGCTCCACAACAAGAGAGGCTGCTATAGTGAGAGGCCCGTGCACCGCGATGAAGAGTGGGCCCCACTTGCCACAACTAGAGAAAGCCCTCGCACAGAAACGAAGACCCAACACAGCAAAAATAAATAAATAAATTACTAAAACTCCTACCCCCAACATCTTATTTTAAAAAAAAAAGAAACAATTAAATATTGCTTATATCAGAGAGAGAGTCACCTGCTGCATATTTTTGGCTGAAACAGCTGAAAATTTGTGCCAGAATGCACTCTATGGGCTAAGGCAACTGGCTAGGTTTAGGGATTAAGGTTAATTTATGCTCCTCAGAGGCTGAGTGATCATTCTTGACTCTTTAAACACAGTCTCTGCTCTTTTTTCTGGAATTGCTTTTAGAGTATTATATTATTGGTTTGCTAATATTTTGGAATATAGGTTTATCATCTCTCTCTTGCCCTATCTATTCAGCATATCTCTCATTATGCTACTAAAATTGGGAGAAATGAATACAGTTCCATGGAATAGGGAAACAAGGACAGAATAACACTAAGGTATTCTAACATATCAAGGAAAAGGTATCTGGTCATATGGAGTACACCTATAAAGCTTGACATCTAGCCAGAGGATCTTTAGCTAATAAGTTGATGGGCTTAATCTGAGATTTTTTTCCTTTACAACCTGGTTAGTCAGGCCTGTACACAGGCCGCCCAGATTGCACGGGGGTTGTAAATATGTAAATGAAATTTTTTCTTCAAGATATTTTTGGTCTAAATCTTATTATATAATGTAAACCTCAGTTTGGAATTAAGAACTAAACATTGCTTTGCCCAACAAATTTTTCATCGTAGTTTTCAATCACAGAAAACATTTCATTATAATGACCAGAGGTATGATTTTGTTACTTATATTGTTATTTTTGTTACTTTTCCAAACTTTTGCTTGTAAAATAAAGTTTTTTCTTAAACCAATTAATGTTTGGGGGGCAGTAGCAAAATCACCCTGATTTATGGAAGCTTACTCCATGAGAGTAACCCACTTTATTACTGACTCCAACTTTTCCTACATGATACTAAGTTTTTTTTGTTCTTTCTTTTGTTGCTATTGACCCTGACCATCTTACCTAAGACCCAGACTGTTGCCCTGTGCTCAAAGACTGTTTTCCTTTTCTAGTTTCTAGCCCCTAGGAAGTAGGGTTCCTTGGTCTTACTGGTAAAAAACAGTTCCTATAGGAGAAGAAAACCAAGCCAAAACAAACTTCTAAATTGGTGAATAGTTTCTAGATCTCTTAAGTATGGTATTAAAACTCATTTGAATTATGGGTTAAATAGACTTCTGTGGACTTAACCTGGAAACGGAACCACAAGTTATAACTTCGGCCCAATGAGAAACTGTTTCAACCAACAAATTTACAAACCAACTTAGAGATTTTATTTTTTTAACAGGGACTACTTGAAGTCAGATTCCTGTTTTCAGCTAGTTTTCTCTTTTTGCCTTTGGTTTGTATGATATGTATTTAATATATATATTGTATATAATGTGTGTTTTAGATAGATAGATAGACAGACAGACAATGGCAAAAGGCCAGTGCCTTAGCAAAGCACAGCAATCATATATTTATTAATATGTACATATTTATTAATGAAGCCCCTAATTTTAAGTTCCTTATAAAATTAAGTAATAATTTAGAAATAATTCATATAAGAATGTATTTTGACATTGGAATTCTGCTTGCCCAAGAAATTGACACATATTTGCTTTACCTGTGGAAATATAAACACATTTTCTAAAAGCCAGCTCACTAACAAAGCAAGAAAATTTATATTAAACCAACAATGAGTGGATTTGATAATGCAAATGTGAACTGACATCTAAATAACAAAGGTACAATTTTTTTTCTTCCTTTTGGTTAAACATACATCCTTTATATGCTATGATAGATTTCATATAACTACTCAAACAAACATATAAATCATGTCCTGGATAATATATTCTGGGAGTGAACCTCTTGTCTTTCTAGTTTAGTCAGTGCAGTCACAAAGGAAAGAAAAATTGTCATCTCCCCCAAGGCAAGTACAATTCTTTTTACATTAACTAGTAATAACTTTACCCTCTGTTTCACATGCTCTCCTTAGTCTAAACATTTTGTCTTTTTGCGTGTATATGAAATATGTTTGTGGGGGTTTTTTTGTTCATTATTTTTTTTCCACCTATAACAGAGCATTTGGAAAGAAACATATTTGCCTCCATAAAGTACTAGTTCTTCCCCTAACTCCAGAGTGTTGTAGATAACAGAGTTGGAGAATTCTATGAGTCTGAGAACTATGGGTGGCAAGGACATCAGTGAAGGTGCTTTTGTGCTTTAATGTTTGTTTTCCTTTGCTAATGTTTTTCCCCCCCCTTAGTTCTTCATATCTTCATGAACTCAGTGTCCAAGGAGTCAGCAAAAATATACATATGATCTTCAGTAATGTGGACTTTATTGCCATTAGCTTGTTTGTAATAGTCCAGGTCAATAAAGTGATAAATGCTTATTTAAGAATGGGCGTCTTATATTTTAAAACAAAGTGTCATACTAAGTCTTAGAATGAATTGCTAAGAAGTCAAGTCCTTAGTGGGAGTTTAGTTCTATAGTCAACACAAATTCTCATGCATTAAAAGCAAGTGTGACATGTTTTGCTCTTTCATTTATTTCCTTAGGGACATACTTGTGATTTTATAAAGCACCTGGAGTATGAATAATGAAAGCTCAGTGTCCATTCATGTCTACAATTCCTCTCTCAACTTCACTGGAATTTTTTAAAATATTCATTATGTATATTTTACATTTAAAGATATAACAGGCTGCAGGCTGCCTTGATTAGATTGATAACACATATATCTTCTATGTTTATATTTTCAAAAATTGAAAATAAAGTTGAGAGTGAGATCTTGCCACAATAAATATCTCATGCATTGGGTATGTAGTATTTTGAGCTCATCTGGGCAGTAATACTCAAAGGGTGGATATAGGAACATCTTTCTTATGGCGAGGAGTATTTTATCACTGTCATTGTTTACCTTGATGCTAATAATAAGAAGTAGACTGACTTTTCATAAGTTTCATTGTTTTAAAATTCTCTACAAACAATGCACCCCTTAATGCCTGCATCAGGGGTGACTGCTTCCATTCCTTGCTTTTGGAATGCAGTGCCTACGTGGCAGCGAATACTAGAGTGGTGTTTGATTTTTATGATGGCCTTCATGTTGACACCAACAATACCTCAATGTGGTGGTAGTTAGAACAAGAGAAATTATAAAAAGAAAGCTCAGAAAAACTTGATGTTATAATGTTGGCTTTTGATATTTTGCATAGTTCTTTTTGTCCCTTTTTATATCTTCTTTCCTAGGAATGTCCACAATGAATCAACAGAATTGTCACTATTGTAATTTAACTGAACCCAAATATATTGACTTAGATTTAGGTATTAGGTTCTATTGGTAAATTATTACACAAAACTCCACTGAGTGATCTCTACAGTACTCAAAGAGAAAAATAGAACAATCTCACAGACTTTGTTATAATGAGCAAGATCCTTATATGCCCAGGGAACAGAACCATTCACAACAGAAGAGTAGAAAACTAAACATCTAAAAACTTGTATACTTAGGATTTTTGGAAATTTAAAACTCCATTTATTAGTAAATACTTGTGTAATTAAAGTAGAACAAAAGAAATGCATCTTGAAACAATATTTGCATACTGTATTATTGTGTTTTCAAGCTTATTACAGTATATACAAAGCAAGGTATGATTTTTCAAGTCCAAAGTGGTAAATATTGTTAGAATTTATTTGATCTGAGGGGTCTCTTAAAAGAACCACTTCTTGAACCCTGCCCCAAGTGACAACAAATTATAGGCAGATTATAGCTTACTTACCCCTCACTCCCCACAGTGTTCCAGGATTCAAATAGCTCTGATAAAAAGAGAAGAAAAAGAGGTTTATTTTAAAGCATTCCATAGGCCAGCAAGGAATTTTCAAAAATGTTTTAAGAGAATATATTTTATTTCTCTTGAAGCAACATAAATTTAACTTCACTCTTTGGCTATCTCTATACCCTAAAGAATACTCCTAGTTAGTATTGAATTTGCCATTTGAAAATATACATCCCAGTTTTTAATACTGATCTCTCTTCCTATGATTACTATTAATTCAGGATTGTATGAAAAAAAGCCACCCTAGATAGAATTTGAATGGAAATTGTGGAGCCATTCAGTAGAGAATTACAAGAAACATTAGTTTTAGATAAATTTCATCAGTTGTAACATAAACTGAAGAATTTAAGTGAAGGACTTAAGTGATTTTACCGTTGAAGAACCATGAAGAATATGCAAAAACAAACACTGTAGGCAGAATTGACAGGATTTATCTTTATAAAACAATACTTAACCATTTTGCTTAATTTTTCTCTCTGCTAAAATATCCCTGAATTTTTCTCCTGAAAAATCTTTGGCTAAAAGACTTCCATTCATAATTACAAACCAGCAGCTCTTAGACTGCCTTGAGAGGCTGAACTGATGTTATTCATTTTTGTTTGTGGCCTTCAATGGTATTTCATTGTCCACCATGAAAAGGAGTAAGGAGTGAATCAATTCATAATTTTGATAATTTATAAGAAGTATTATCAAAGTTTTGTTGTCACTTTCTAGCGTGATTATTTTTTTCTAGATCGGGAAAAGGGCGAGGTATTTGTATACTGAGGTGCCAGTCTTCTTTTGAAATTCATACCCATCACCTGGGGGTTGGGCAGCATTTAAATTGTTCCATTCAAAGCCTGGAAGTAAGCCTGTCTGTTTCACTGGACATTTTCCCTAGGTGTCACTGGCTGTAAGACAACCAGAACATGATCAGAATGACCCAGGTTATAATCTTATTAACGGAGTACCTTAAATAATTATATTTTCTAAAACACCAAACAGCCATTTCTTTTAAAAGAAAGCAATGTATGAATCACTCTCTTGCATTTAAAATCAAAACCTTATTTTTCAAATGCAACTCTAATTATTTAATAAATTATTTGGTAGTGAAACTACTGTTTTTACTACATGTAAATAGTTTGTTGCTTTATCAAATAAATATATAAAAGCACTTTGAAAACTAAAGGATCATACATGTTTATGATAGAATTACAAGTAGGTTTTCCATGGAGTTGGTTGTCAAAATGTGATAACTTTTTAGCACAAATGTGGTTGCTTATTTTATATATATCAAAAAACATTTTAAAACAAATTCTCAGAGTTTTAATTATATATGTTAGCAACAGTAGAAATAACTAGTCTCTGGGAAGTTTCATATGAATTCAGTTCTCACAAGAAAATATTTTAAAGACTTGGCTGAGTCTATTTTTATAGGCCTCAGAAGTGCTTCATGACTATTTCTTTGATTTACAAACAAAAAAATATGTTTTTACTGGGTTTTTAACCACCAGTTTTTGGCCATTTATTACTTATTTCTTTAGTAACAATTACATTTTTTTGTTATTGATGAATTCTGGCTAGAAAATCACTTTTCTGTGACTTCCCTGGTGACGGAGTGGTTAAGAATCTGCCTGCCAATGCAGGGGACACGGGTTCAAGCCCTGGTCCGGAAAAATCCCACATGCCACAGAGCGACTGAGCCTGTGCGCCACAACTACTGATCTCGTGCGGCACAACTGCTGAGCCCACGCACCGCAACTACTGAAGCTGGCACGCCTAGAGCCCGTGCTCCGCAACAAGAGAAGCCACCGCAATGAGAAGCCTGCGCACCGCAATGAAGTGTGGCCCCCCGCTTGCCACAACTAGAGAAAGCCTGAGCGCAGCAACAAAGACCCAACGCAGCCAAAAATTAAAAAGAAAAAAAAAGAAAGAAAATAACTTTCCTTAAAACTGAAAAGTCTAGTTTCTATTTGGTAAATATTTTAAGCTCAATTTTTCCCTTAGGGAAACTGTAAAAGTTAATTTTTTGGTACATGTATAGGTATGTGATCAAATTAACAGCAAAGTCAGTCTTTGGCCTTTCATACTCTTAGCTACTATATACAAGAAGTATATTAGAATTAAATCTAACATTACCATGGCAGTCTCCTTTGTAAGTATTCTGAGGGAAGCTCATTTCCCTTAGTTCACAAGTATCTGCCAACGTTAAGGAATATTTTGTCTCTATTTAGATCAAAGCACCCATGACCTGTGCAGCCAAGTAATCAAAGAGAAGGCCAAGACTTTAAGTGTAATGGAACCTATAATCAGAAGTATTCTAGTGGATTGTGAACAAATAGAGAGGAAGAATACTAACATACACTTTTCCTGGGAGAGTTACTTTCATTGGTCCTCTTATAAGGTTTATTACAAAGTTCACTATCTCACTAATCACTGAGAAGGGAAACTAGATGTAAGGACCTGATTATGTGAGTTTAATTGGCCAGGCTACAGCAAACCAAAACACCCTTCAGAACCAGTCCAGTACCCCGGGGTTTAGTTCTTGTACGGGGAAAAACCTGTAGCTCTTTCAAAGGGTGAGCTGATAATTAAAGTTACCTGTATTCTGAAGATATCACAAAAATGGCATCTATAGACAACTGATGGAAATTTTCTTTAGATATTTAATTTGGAGGCATTTTTCTGCTTTATGTTTTCTATTAACCTTTTATCATTGAGGCTAGAGCTGAGAACTAAAAGCCCTATCACTCAAGGAACTTACATTGATTGCAGTGATGAGTACTATGGAGAAAATAAAGCAGGGTAAGGGAATAGAGAATCAAGGATGCTTTTTTTTAAGTTAGAAATGGTTTCTGAGTTAGACAAACACACAAAGCTGTAAAAAACAGATGTAAGCTCACCAACTTAAAAATTGCTTTTCAATTGACCCAGTGCATGCATGCTCAAAAGGGGCAATTATCATAAATTGCATCTGAACACAGAAATCCCATCCAGCAAGTTTTTATGGGAGGGGAAGAGCACTGACTAATTTTGCTGAGCCATTGGAAACTGCTCTAGATCTACTGTTTTGATCTATACAGTTGCTTAGAACTTATTTTAAGTTTAGGATCACATTCCACTTAAAAATTTTTTGAGATATAATTCACATAACAAAAAATTTACCATCTTAAAGTGCACAGTTCAGTAGTTTTTAGTATATTCACTGTGTTGTGCAATCTTACTAATTCCAGAACATTTTCATCATGCCAAAAAAACCTCTGTTTTAATTAGTAATCAGTCCCAATTTTCATTTTCTCCCATCCCCTGGCAACCACTAATCTCTCTGTCTCTGTGGAATTGCCTCTTTTTGACATTTCATACATCCTTTAGTGTATGGCTTTTTTCCTTAGGATAATGTTTCCAAGATTCATTCATGTAGCCTGTAAGAGTATTTCATTCCTTTGTATGACTGAATAATAATCCATTATGTGGATATACCACATTTTGTTTATCCTTTCATGAGTTGATGGACATTTGGATTATTTCTATAATTTGGCTCTTATGAATAACCATGCTATAGAATGCTATAAACATCTGTGTACAAGCTTTTGTGTGAATATGTTTTCAGTTCTCTTGGGTATACGCCTAAGAGTGGAATTTCTGATTCATATGGTAAATCTACGTTTAACTTTTGGAGAGATTGCTGAACTGTTTTCCATAGCAGCTGCACCATTTTACATTCCCACCAGCAGTGTATGAGGGGTCCAATTACTTTACATCCTTGCCAACACTTGTTATTGTCTGTCTTTTTTATTATACCCATCCTAGTCGATGTGAAGTAGTATCTCACTGTGTTTTGAGTTACATTTTCCTAATGACTAATGATACTGAATACTTTTTTCATGTGTTTATTGGCCATTTGTTTATCTTCTCTGGAGAAATGTCTGTTCGAATCCTTTGTCCCTTTAAAATTGAGCTATTTGTGTTTTCAATGTTGAATTGTAAGAGTTCTTTATATTTGCTAGATACAAGTCCCTTATCAGATATGATTTGCAAATATTTTCTCCCATTCTGTGTTGTCTTTTTACTTTTTTGATGGTGTCCTTTGCATTGCAGAAGTTTTTGCTTTTGATGAAATCCAGTTGATCTTTTTTTCTTTTGGTTGTTTTTGCTTTAGTTGTCATATCTAAGAAACCATTGCCTACTCCAATATCATACAGATTTACACCTGTCTTTCCTTCTAAGAGTTTTATTGTTGGGACTTCCCTGGTGGCACAGTGGTTAAGAATCCACCTGCCAATGCAGGGAACATGGGTTCGAGCCCTGGTCCGGGAAGATCCTACATGCAGCGGAACAACTAAGCCCATGCGCCAGAACTACTGAGCCTGCACTCTAGAGCCTGTGAGCCACACTACTGGGCCTGCATGCTGCAACTACTGAAGCCCATGTGCCTAGAGCCCATGCTCCGCAACAAGAGAAGCCACCATAATGAGAAGCCCGCGCACCCCAACGAAGAGTAGCCCCCGCTTGCCGCAACTAGAGAAAGCCTGCGCGTAGCAACAAAGACCCAAGCAGCCAAAAATAAATAAATAAATAAAAAGAGTTTTATTATTTTAGTTCTTTCATTTATGTCTAGGGTCCATTTTGAATTAATTTTTGTATGTGGTGTGAGGTAGAGGTTCAACTTCATTCTTTTGCATGTGTATATCAAGTTGTCTCAGCACCATTTACTGAAAAAAACTATCTTTTCCTTACTGAGTTGTCTTGGCACCCTTGTTGAAAGCTAATTGACCATAGATGTTTGAGTTTGTTTATGGACTCTTGATTCTATTCCATTGGCTTATATCTTATGCTAGTGCCACAGTTGATTACTGTAGCTATGTAGCAAATTTTCAAGTTGGGAAGTGTCAGTTTACCAGCTTTATCTTTTTTCAATATTGTTTTGGCTATTTGGGGTCCCTTGAGTTTGATTATGAATGTTAGGAACAGCTTATCCATTTCTGCAAAAAAGTCTGTTGG